CAACACTAGGGAAATGTCTTGTTCCATTCTGATCCAGGTTTCTTTTTCTGAAACACTAACAGATCCTTTCCCTCCTTTTCACAACCTTGATGGATCGAGAGCACACAACACGAGTATGATCTGGGTGGCCTTTTCTGTGTGGTTACACAGATCAGTACTTCATTCATTGCTTGTTGTGACTAAGTGGGCATCACATTTAGCATGTGAACCATTTAAAGTACACAGTCCGGTGGCATTAACCACAGGCACGTTGTTGTACAAATAACCTCACCATCCATGTCCAGATCTTTTCCAATTTCACCAGTGAAACGCTGTACTTTGATTGAACACTAATTCCCCTCAGTCCCTGGCACCCACATTCTACTTTCTGCCTTTGAATTGTACTTCTCTGGATACCTCCTATATGTAGTAACTTATCATGTGTGTCCTTTTAAAGTGACAGGGCTATTTCACTGATCATAATGCCTTTGAGGTTCGTATATGCTGTAGGAGTTGTCAGAATTTCCTTTGTTGTTAAGGCTGAATGACATTCCTTTGTGTGGATATCACATGTAGTTTACCCATTCATCTATCGATGGACACTTGGGTGGCATCTGCCTCTTGGCATTGTGATTCACGCTGCTTGGAATGTGGGTGTACCCATTTCTGTCCCAGGCCCTGCTTTTAATCTTTTGGGTATGATCCTCTCTGACGAGGTGTTTTAAAACTTTTGAAAACTTTGAACAGACTTTCCAAATAGCAGATTCTTTGAACTCCAGCTAACTTTGGGGTGCTTCAAAGGGCTCCTGGAGCATCCCAAAGAGAGATCCTAAACTAGCTGGGTTCACTTGGTGTGTTAAATTACATGGAAAACATTGTCCAAGCTCGCTGTTGCCTGTGGCAGATGGAATCATCAGGCTCTCCCCAGTTTTTTCATAGCCACAAAACAGACAGGGGAAAGGATTTGGGGTTCTTCTGCTCTCTAGTCTCTCACCTCACCCAACTTACAAAAATCTAAAGAATTTCTGTTTCCCGGCCTCGGGTCTTGAACCCCTTGCCCAGCTCCACTTTCTCCCAAGATTCCTCTTTGAATCTATCGGACCCCCTTCACTCCAGGCCTTGGCAGCCCATACACTGCTACGGACAGCCTATCGGGCTGGCCGCTGCCCAGAAGCCCATATTATAAACTCTGTAGACGTTCAAGCATGAGGAATACACCCCAGTGTAGGGAAACTTGTTATAGGACATAGGCTTTATACACAACAGATGCCCCTCAGGGAGAGTCCTGGCAACGCACTGGCACTGGTTCAAATGTCCCCACCCCCAACCCCTGGGGACCCTCATGAAAGGGACTGGGCTGACCACAGGCATCTGGTTGGGCGATGGGAGAGCAGAAGACACTGAAAACCCCATTAGGTTCGAAAGGAATTCGGAGGATGCTCTGACCCCTTCAAGTTAAAGCCTCCTGGTAAATGTTTCCGGGAAGCCAGATTCCATTTCTAGGAATGCTTGGTTGTAGGTTGCTCAACATGGGAGTATCCCCTTCTAAGCCAGAAGAAACACCTCTGGAGTGTATCCTTAAGAACTGGAAATTTTTAGGGACTTCTCTGGTGGCACAGTGGTAAAGAATCCGCCTGCCAATGCACGGGACACGGGCTCGAGCCCTGGTCTGGGAAGATCCCACATGCCACGGAGCAACTAAGCCCGTGCACCACAACTACTGAGCCTGCGCTCTAGACCCCGCAGGCCACAACTACTGAAGCCCGTGTGCTACAACTACTGAAGCCTGCACGCCTACAGCCCATGCTCTGCAACGAGAAGCCACAGCAATGAGAAGCCCGTGCACCACAACGAAGAGTAGCCCCCACTCACCACAACTAGAGAAAGCCCATGTGCAGCAACGAAGACCCAAAGCAGCCAAGAATAAATAAATAAATAAAATAAAAATTTTTTTTAAAGTCCACAAATAACAAATGCTGGAGAGGGTGCGGATAAAAGGGAGCCCTCCTACACTGCTGGTGGGAATGTAAATTGGTGTAGCCACCATGGAAAACCGTATGGAGGTTCCTCAAAAAACCTAAAAGTTGAGCTACCATATGATCTAGCAATCCCACTCCTGGGCATATATCTGGAGAACAACATAATTTGAAAAGACACATATACCCCAGTGTTCATAGCAGCACTATTTACAATAGCCAGGACATGGAAGCAACTTAAGTGTCCATTAGCAGATGAATGGATAAAGGAGATGTGATATACACACACACATATCCACAACACATACTCACTATGGAATATTACTCAGCCATAAAAAAGAATGAAATAATGCCATTTGCAGCAACATGGATGGACCTAGAGAATATCATACTAAATGAAATCAGAGAAAGACAAATATTATGTATCACTTACATGTGGGATCTAACAAATAATAAAAATGAATCTATTCAAGAAACAGAAAGAGACTCACAGACTTAGAAAAAAAACCTTATGGTTGACAAATGGGAAGTGGGGGAAGGGTGAACTAGAAGTATGAGATTAACCAATACACAACACTATATATAAAATAGATAAGCAACAGGACCTACTGTAGAGCACAGGGAACTATATTCAATATCTTGTAATAACCTACAATGGAAAATAATCTGAGAAAAACAAACAAAATATATATACATAACTAAATCACTGTGCTATACACCTAAAACTAACACAACATTGTAAATCAACTACACTTTGATAAAATTAACATTACATTTAAAACAAAAAAAAGAGGGACTTCCCTGGTGGCACAGTGGTTAAGAATCTGCCTGCCAATGCAGGGGACATGGGTTCGAGCCCTGGCCCAGGAAGATCCCACATGCCATGGAGCAACTAAGCCCGTGTGCCACAGCTACTGAGCCTGTGCTCTAGAGCGTGCAAGCAACAACTACTGAAGCCTGCGCGCCTAGAGCCTGTGCTCTGCAAGAAGAGAAGACACCGCAATGAGAAGCCCACACACAGCAACAAAGAGTAGCCCCCGCTCGCCACAACTAGAGGAGGCCTGCACACAGCAACGAAGACCCAACCCAGCCAAATAAATAAATTAATAAAATAAAATAAAAAGAGAATTTCAGAGGCGGGTCTTCAAGAACAGACCACGGTCCACATGAGTAGTGACCATGTCAGCGATGACAATTCCTGGCACAGGCAGGCATGAGGAAATGTCAGCTAGAGGAAAAAATTAGAACCTGGTGTACACAGGTGCCTTGGATCTGGACAGTTACCTGGCCAGGGCAAGGCCAAACAAAGGGGGGTCCATTAAGGTGACTGAAAAACCTCTGCCTCTGACACCTTCCACGTGACACCACAGGAAGCAGGTGTTGGGGCTGCTCAAGGAGAGCAGAAGGCAGTGCTCACACATCATCTCAACCAACAACAGCACCAACCCAGGGAAATGGAAAAGGAAGCAGTATCCGTGGTCCTGATGAGAGGACAGAGCTGTCACTGGGGAAAGGGGAAGGACACAGGGGTGGATCTGAGGTTCTTACCCAGGGAGGCTGTAAGTGCCAAGTTCTCCAGCTTCACATCACAATACGGGCATCTCCAAGACTCATCAAGGAGACCCCATTCCTCCCCGGAAAATGTCACAGCCACATCTTCAAAGGTCACGCCATCCTGCTATGATGGGGACAGATGAAACCACAAACAGCCCCACTCTCAAGGAGCTACAATCCATTCTCCACCAACCCACCCACCCCCACATCTACCGTATGCCCATCCTCCTCCCAACCTCCCCAACTCAGAGAAGAAACCAGGCCCTGCTGCCATTGGTGCCTCTGTCTCCTCAGGGGTCCATTGATCACTGGACAAAGCCATCAGTGGTAGGAGGCACATGGGCAATCAACAGCTAAGCTCTGGGACAAGCACAGAAGGATGTACCACCTCCACAGGCTATTACCTGGGTGTGGCCACAGTCATGTGGTTTCCAGTGCAGTGCCCTAGACCATCAGACGTGCCCCCTGTCTGAACGCACATCCCTCAGAGCCCCATACCCATGGCCACCAGCATCAGTGCCCCTTACTGTAGGCGTCTTGTTACTCGTGTTTCAGTCACCTCCTCATAACCCCACTGGTGAGGGTATAATTCCCACCCTAAGGGTGTGGCCAAACACACGACCCCTGACACTGGCCAGATGCAATCAACAGCCATTTATTAACCACATATTAACATGTGGGAGACAACACACAAGGCCATGGGAAGGCCACACGCTGGCGGAGTGAACAACAAAGGGCTGTGGGATGCAGTCTCTGTGGGATCGAGAGGGTACGGTGCCCTGCTTCCCGCAAGAGGACATGACTGGCTTGTTTAAATGACTCTGCAGGCTGGTAGGGAACTGAAACTAACTACAAAGGGATAAGCAGGAACTGTGCCTGCTCCCTTTGATAAAAAGGGTTGTAAGGTTAGGAGACATTACCTGTGAGAAGCATGTGAAGGGAAACTTGCACCACGGCCATTTGAGGGCATCCCTGTTTCACCAGGTGTCAAGGCAGCATACCTATTGGCCTTAATTTTAGAACTTACAACACAACTTGGCAGAATATCCTTGACAAATTCAGAGAGGATCCAGTATGACTACAGACTTCCCATGGTTCCTGTTAGCAACCACAGCCCCAAATCACTCCATGCAGGTCTCATTCAACTCCTTGGCTCAGACGCAGTCACAGAGAACCATGTGTGGATTTCAGCTACCCATGGTCCTATCTGCTTTTCCTGCACTTGCTGTGCCCTCAGAAATCACACCTTTCCTCTGTCCATCCAACCATCATTCAAAGCCCAGCCCCACTGATAACCCACCCCAGATCTTGTGACTCACAGATGACTGAATTTGCCCCTGATCACATGCACCTGGCTGAATGAAACATCCCAGACTCCACCAAAGTCCTCACAAAATCTTGGTTAGTCCATAAAATGGTAAAAAAGCACAAGTTTCAGCCTGAGTATATCTTTAAGTATGCACAATTTATGGCAAGACAATCAGTCAATCCTCATTTTTCATGGATTCTGTATTTGTAAATTTGCCTACCTGCCAAAACTGGAAAACCCCCAAATCAATACTTACATTTTTACACTTATTCATAGACATGTGGAGACACAAAATATCCGAGTCACCCAGTGTATGTGAGATACACAAGATGATGCTCTGCCTTCTCTTTGCGGCTCTCATACTGTAAACAAGCATTCTTCCCATGATGTATTTAGTGCCCCATTTATGCTTCTTCTTGGTGGTTTTGTGGTCCAAAATGGCCTCCAAAACTGGCGCTCATGTGCCGCCTAGAGTTCCTAAGCCCAAACAATGTGGCTTAAAGAAAATACATGTTAGGTAAGCATTGTTCAGGCATGAATCATCGTGCTGTTGGCCATGATTTCAGTGTTAATGAATCAACAGTATACAGTAAATGAATTGTTTTTAAACAGAAACACATGGAAAACCACGTTATGTACTTACCAATTGAGCAAAACGTTGTAACCAGAGGCTGTCAGGAACCTAATTACAGATTTCCCCTAGGAACAACGGCTCTATATTCACAATTCAGTGAATTAAAGGACATGACTAGCGTGAATGACAACTGATTGTACTTCAGTAAAGCTGTTTAAAAAGCAAAGGTAACTCTTAAAATTTGTAACTTCCTAATTATTTCACTATGGTTTACTATTCTATACATTCTCAAGGTTATTTGCGTCTACTATTATCAGTACACAAAAACAGAATACAATGTGGTACCTTCTTTGCATCTTTGTCTCTTTTCAGGCTGCCACAACAAAATACCACAGACTGGGTGGCTTAAAGAAATGTATATTCTCCTATTTCTAGAGGCTGGGAGTCTAAGACCAAGGTGCCATCAGGAATGGTTTCTGGTGAGGCCTTTCTTTCTGACTTCTAATCAACCACCTTCTTGGTGTGTCATTAAAAGGCCTTTCCTCTGTTCGTGAATACAGCGAGAAAGTGAGCACCTTCTGGTGCCTTGTCTTCTTCCATGGACACAAGTCACACTGGATTAGGACCCCATTCTTATGACCTCATTTGTCCTTAGTTATCTCCTTATAGGACATACCTAAAAACATAGTTACATTGGCTGTTAGGGCTTGAACGTATGAATCTTGAGGGACACAATTCAGTCCATAACAGACTTACCTATATTATGTAAAGGCCTTTATTCCTTGTGAACATTCTGGTATTTTAGGAGATTGGGGTTGAAGGTAAAGGACTTTCCATTCACTGCACTCATAAAGCCTTTCTCCAGCGTGAATTCTCTGGTGTCTAATGAGGCGAGAGCTCTGGCTAAAACATTCCCCTCGTTCACTGCACTCACATGGCTTTTCACCAGGGTGAACTTTTCGATGCATGATAAGGTTGTACTTCTTGCTAAATAATTTTCCACCTTCCCCACACTCATAAGGCTTTTTGCTAGTGTGAACTCTCAAATGCTCCCTGAGGCTACAGTTTTTTCTAAAGGATTTCCCACACTCACGGCACCTGTAAGATCTTTCCCTCTTGAGGACTCTGGTGTGGAACAAGGGTGTGTTTGGGGCTGCAAGCTTTCATGCACTCTAGCTGGTTGTAATGGTTGTTTACACTGTGGAAGGCCACCACACACTCCGGTCCACTATTTGACTTCTCCCTGGTGTGAGTAGCCTGTTGCTGAAGATGTCCCGAGCTGGCCAGAAAGTCCTTCCCAACCTCCTTATGGGTAAAGGAGTTCCCTGACACATGGAATTAGCAGCTCTTCAAGAACAAGGCTCTGCTCATATTGCTTTTGAAGCATTTCTCTCCAACACGCTGCTTGTGCAGCTGATAAAGTCTGCAGTGAGAGGAAATTGTTTTCCACATGCCCCACACATGTGCAGTTTCGGTCTGTGATGTGTTTCCTGGTGTTCAACCAAGTGCAAACTGTCTCTCAACATGGGTCCACACATCTCACAGAGGTGGGCCTTCTGGGGAGACAGACCTGCTTTGAGAGTCCTATCCTGTGGCATTACTTTGGCAGAAATGCTGTGCTCAGAAGATGCCTCCTTATCCTCCACTCCACACCAACAACCTGAAAGAAAGAAATGCTGGTGAAGTGCATGTTGATTCCGGTGAGAAGGGTAACCTGTAGAAAAGTGTGTGTGGGACAAACCCAGGAACAATCAGTGGAATTGTTCTGGGGACCAAAGAGTTGGGTACAGGTTGAGAATGGGTTGATTAGCAGAACTGGGCCTCTAAAGATCACAGAACAGGGGAGGACTCACGAGGTTAAATACAGCACCACTGGGTGCAGCACAGGGAGGAAAGGGTCTACAACTCCTTCCTTTGGAAACAACTCTCTCTGGAGATCTGGTCTTCTGCTGACATTGGTGTGTTATGTAGAAGAGTGTGTTCAGGCCCAAGAAAATGCAACTACAACAGAGTAGCTGGTGTTCAATGACTGTTTAAGAATATGTGTGTGGGACTTCCCTGGCGGTCCAGTGGTTGGGACTCTGCATTCCAATGCAGGGGATGTGGGTTCGATCCTTGATCGGGGAGCTGGGATCCCACATGCCTTGGGGCCACAGGGCCAGAACATAAAACAGAAGCAATACTGTAGCAAATTCAATAAAGACTCTGAAAATGGTCCACATCAAAAAAGTCTTAAAAAAAAAATAAAGAAAGAAAGAATATGTGTGCATGTTACAATGCACATGTAGAGGCCAATGTCAGAGAGTACTACAGGTGGAGCAATGAGAACGACGAGTGATATGTGTAGCCCACAGATGTGGTGAACAGCCCTGAGCTGGAAGAGCAGACAACTTGTCAGCAGAGCTGACAAGTTGGCAGTGTCAAGAATGGGAAAGGAAAGGCATTAGGCTGCCTTTGTCAACAGCACCAAAATACTACTCAAACAGAATAGGTTTCTGTATGATCTGAGCACAGCTCAGACATCGTGCCTCCCCCAGGGCTAGGCTCCCATGGAATTCATACTGCTGTAGCTGGATTTATGCTACAAACTCAAATGTTTATGTTCCTGCAAACACCATATGTTGAAATCCTAACCCTCAATGTGATGGTAGTAAAAGGTGGGGGACTCTGGCAGGTGATTAGATCATGAGGGTGAAGCCCTCACCAATGGGATTAGTGCCCTTGTACAAGTGACCCCAGAAAGCCTTCTCATTCCCCTTCTGCCATGTGAGGACACAGCAACAAGGAGACCATTTATGAACAAGGAAGTGGGCCTCACCAGACACTGAAACTGCCAGTGCCTTGATCGAGGACTGCCCAGCCTCCAGACCTGTGACATAAATGTTTGTTGTGTAAGTACCAGCCTATGGTAGTTTGTTATAGAAACCTGACTGGACTAAAACAGAAATTGGTTTGAGAAGTGGGATGCTGCTTGCAAGGAAAACCTGAAAAATTAGAAGTGGCTTTGGATCTGGGTAACGGTCAGAGGCTACCAAGAGTTTTGAGGTGCATATTTGCAAAAGCCAATATTGTCAAGAATGCTAAGTAATTCTGGTAAGAGCTTAGGAAGAAAAGAGGGGAGTTATAGAGAAAGCTTCCATCTTCTTAGATGATAATGAATCATGAACAAAATGTGCATAGAAATATGGATGGTAAATGCTATTCTATTCTGATGAAGTCTCAGAAAGAAATGAGGAACATGTTATTAGACAAGGAACACTGAAGATCCTTTTTATAAAGTGGAAAAGAACTTGGCTGAATTTTGTTCATATTCTAGTGTTTTATAGAAGGTAAAATGTGTGAGCAATGAAATTTGATATTTAGCTGAGAAAATTCTAAACAGTGCTGCAGAGAAGCTTGGTTCCTCCTGGCTGCTTAGAGTAAGATACAATTAGAGAGATGACTTGAGGATGGGATTGTTAAGCAAAAAGGAACCAGAACTTAAAGATCTGAAAAATTCTCAGCCTATCCATTTTGAAAAGAATGACAAGGTGTTTTCAGAAGAGAACACTAAGACTTTGATAAGATTAGCATGCATATGACCCAGAAACCTCATCTGCCATCTCAAAAATGATCCCCCTTAAGGTGATCAGGGACCCTCATGGCTGCCACCTCCACCACAGGCCCAGAGAGCAAGGGCCAAGGGAGAGCAACATGACTCCAATGGGTGGGGCCACCTATCTGGGTCAGGCACACCACGATGTTCCCGCTCCGTGCCTCACGGTGGGGCCCTGGCAGAGAGCTGTGGTGTGCTCGACGGACACATGGAGCCAGGGATTGCCAGAGCCGTAGCACCTGGACCCAACACCAACAGAGCCACCAGCTAACAGTGCCAGTCTGAGAGCCACCATCATGAGATCCCAATCCAGGAGAGCAGCAGAGTCAGGACTGCTCCCCAGTGGGCCTGGAGGGCAGAGCACTGAACCACAGAGGATTATACTTGAGGCTTAAGGTCCAAAGACATTTGCCCCAGTAAGCTTTGGACTTACTCAGTACCTATCACTCCTTTCTCCCTTCCCTTTAGAATGGGAATTGTTTCATTCTGGGATGGGAATGTCTACCTCATGCCTGTTGCACCACTATATTTTGGAAGCACATAACTTGTTTGGTTATATAGGTTCTCAGCTGGAGAGAGATCTGTTGCAGGGTAAACTGTATTTCAAGTCTCACCAATATCTGATATAAATGATATTTAGATGAGACTTTGGAATTTAGAGTTGATGCTAGAACTAGTTAAGATTTTGGGGGCATGTTTGCTGGCCCTGCAAGGTGGAAATGGTGGCGTAGTAGGTTTTTGGGTTTTTTTGTTTTTTTTTTTCCTTTCCACCCACAGGGTTTGGGTTTCTGGCTGGGAGTCAGGTTTCTGGAAATGTACGTGGAAAATTAATGGTATATGTGGTATCTGTCTTCAATAGGGCTAAAAGGAGCCGAAGCCCGTTAACCAGCTGAACAAAGTCTATGATGCAATAGACCCTTGCTGAGATTTAGACTGGAGAGGTTGTGGAAGTGGGGCTGGGCCAGGATACAAAGAGAAATATGGGGGAAGAGAGAAGTTACTGAGAAGAATCAAGAGATCCTAGCATTCTTATTTGCTGTGTGATCCTAGTCAAGCAACTTATTCTCTTTAGGAATTCTTTTATAAAATTTGACCAACAGGACCCACCTCACAGAATTACTGAGAAGAAAAAAATGAGATTTCTAAAAACCTGAAGAGTAAGCTTTTAGAAAAATCATCAGAAGGAAGGAAATTGGAGAAATAAAACTGGAAACATTCAGAATCTTGATGGTGTGCCAAACCAAATGTCAACTGGAACTCGACCAAAAACTAAAATGAGCAAACCAAAGCCCAGGAAAGCCATGTGGCAGACAGGGTCTTGGTGCTCTGGCCTGAGCCTCTGAGGTGGGAGAGCCGAGTTCAGGACACTGGACCACCAGAGACTTCCTGGTCCCACGTAATATCAACTGGCGAGAGCTCTCCCAGAGATCTCTGTCTCAACACTAAGACCCAGCTCCACCCAGTGGCCAGCGAACTCCAGTGCTAGATGCCCCATGCCAAACAACTAGCAAGACAGGAACACAACCCCACCCATTAGCAGAGAGGCTGCCTAAAATCATACTAAGTTCACAGACACCCCAAAAAACACCACCAGACATGGTTCTGCCCATCAGAAAGACAAGATCCAGCCTCACTCACCAGATCACAGGCACGAGCCTCCTCCACCAGGAAGCCTACACAAACCACTGAACCAACCTCACCCACTGGGGGCAGACACCAAAAACAATGGGAACTACAAACCTGCAGCCTGCAGAAAGGAGACCCCAAACATAGTAAGTTAAACAAAATGAGAAATCAGAGAAACATGCAGCAGATGAAGGAGCAAGGTAAAAATCCACCAGACGAAACAAATGAAGAGGAAATAAGCAGTCTACCTGAAAAAGAATTCAGAGTAATGATAGTAAAGATGATCCAAAATTTTGGAAATAGAATGGAGAAAATACAAGAAACGTTTAATAAGGACCTAGAAGAACTAAAGAGTAAGCAAATGATGAACAACACGATAATTGAAATTAAAAATTCTCTAGAAGGAATCAATAGCAGAATAACTGAGGCAGAAGAACGGATAAGTGACCTGGAAGATAAAATAGTGGAAATAACTACTGCAGAGCAGAATAAAGAAAAAAGAATTAAAAGAATTGAGAACAGTCTCAAAGACCTCTGGGACAACATTAAATGCACCAACATTCGAATTATAGAGGTCTCAGAAGAAGAGAAAAAGAAAGGGTCTGGGGCTTCCCTGGTGGCTCAGTGGTTGAGAGTCCACCTGCTGCTGATGCAGGGGACAGGGGTTCGTGCCCCAGTCCGGGAAGTTCCCACATGCCATGGAGCAGCTAGGCCCATGAGCCATGGCCGCTGAGCCTGTGCATCCAGAGCCTGTGCTCCGCAACAAGAGAGACCACAACAGTGAGAGGCCCACATACCACAAAAAAAAGAGAAAAGAAAGAAAGGGTCTGAGAAAATATTTGAGGAGACTATAGTTGAAAACTTCCCTAACATGGGAAAGGAAATAGTCAATCAAGTCTAGGAAGTGCAGAGAGTCCCATACAGGAGAAACACTCCGAGACACATATTAATCAAACTATCAAAAATTAAATACAAAGAAAAAATATTAAAAGCATCAAGGGAAAAGCAACAAATAACTTACAAGGGAATCCCCATAAGGTTAACAGCTGATCTTTCAGCTGAAACTCTGCAAGCCAGAAGGGAGTGGCAGGACATATTTAAAGTGATGAAAAGGAAAAACCTACAACTCAGACCACTCTACCCAGCAAGGATCTCATTCAGATTTGATGGAGAAATTAAAACCTTTACAGACAAGCAAAAGTTAAGAGAATTCAGCACCACCAAACCAGTTTTACAACAAATGCTAAAGGAATGTCTCTAGGCAGGAAACACAAGAGAAGGAAAAGACCTACAGAAACAAACCCAAAACAATTAAGAAAATGATAATAGGAACATACATATTGATAATTACATTAAATGTAAATGGATTAAATGCTCCAACCAAAAGACATAGACTGGCTGAATGGATACAAAAACAAGACCTGTACATATGCTGTCTA